CGCATGCGTAGTGAACGAAATATTTTACTGCGCAGATATGAAAATTTTTTTCAAGTTTTCCGTTTCCAGCAAAGCGGTTGAAACGGGCGTATCGGCGGCAACTAACATGGAGTATGACTAATGTCGTGGAAACAAAAGCGAAAGCACTGTAAGATAAACTAAGACAAAGGTTTTTTTAATCCTCTTAGTTTCGTTGTTCTTCCTGGGGTTTATAGTTCCATGAGTATATGTACAAGCAATTGGTTACTTTTCTGACCTCTAAAGGTCACACATCCTGGTACTTGCATGGCTTTCTAAAGATCACACATCCTGGTACTGTTGTTAGTATGAAGATCAAAAATGAATTTCAAATTTTCAAACTTGAAAATTATTTGTCTTAGTTACTTGAGTAAACAGAAATACACATTCAAATTGTGTATGTTTGTGATACTGTCATACCATCAAAAGTACCAGGATGTGTGACCTTTAATGCTCATGGAAATGGCCTATTGAACTTGTACTTTACTGATATGGTAATATCATATGGTAATCAGAAATCTATGGCCATATATGAATATTGTTAGTGTATGGAATTACCTGCCTACAAATAGGCACATTGGTACGGGTGTTATTTCGTACATTTACAAGGAGGAATCTAACTGCCTGTGGTTGCTGACATCAAGACTTATTCAAGACACATACCTTATTCTTCCTTCTCCAATTAGCTGTAAATTTAGTCTTAATTAGGACCTGTTTTACATTTTTAAAATACTCTGATACGGTCTCCCTGTAAGTAATCAATATTGATAATCGATTACAGTCAGAATTAATTTTCATTCTTGAACGCTTTAGAGCGCTCACATGATGTGGTAGGTACATCTTCACAACTATCGCTTGAAAGTGGGGAATTTCAATAATTTCAATCTGAAAAATAGGCTTATACCCTACTGACTGAGAAATATCTCATTTTGTTGAACACAGTCTCTGTACTGATGTTAATCTGATGTACTGCCACTGCAAGGTCTAATCATTAATTGCGTTCTGTCCATTTTATCCTTTCTTGGTCGCAAACTATCAATTTACCTAATAACATAGTTATAAGACAAATCACTTGCATTTACCACATTCATTTATTAATTAATACAACCAAAGAAATGATATGATGATAAATTGTCCATGACTAGATATCATCTACGGTAACCTCATCAGTCGTAGTGAATCACAATCAAGAAGTTTTGAGGGCAGGATTGATGGGGGAAAAAAAGGTGTCTGGATTACAAAAAAAATGATGACAAATTTTATTTAAATTTTAAAAGTGCATCACATAATTATTTGCGTTTTATGTCGATCGTCAACTAACCTAAGTACCCGAATACTGCAAATAATTGGGTTCTACCGTCTGATTTATATAACGCAGTTACTACATGTTATGTTGGGATATTCTTTCAACAGTTGTGGTACATGCGCCTGTTACATCAGAATCAAAGATGGAAACTACACCCGTGACAACATCGGTGTCTGTATCGAGTATTCGTATGTCTGCATTGGTGTCAGACGAAGGTGCTGGTAGTCAAGGCAGCCAAGAAGAAGGGGAATTAGGGACGAGGAGAAAGGTATCACCAGTTGAATTGTTGAAGGTAGTCAGAGATGTTTTGGTGCACTTCCTGTAGCGATAAATGTAGAGTTGGGCGGTCCTGTTGGATTAATAAAGTTGGTGGAATATTCAAATATTTGCACTTACATTGAATTTTTGCATACGAATCCTTGTCAAGTGCGGATGAATCTTTTTCTACGCTATAACCTGTACGTGCCTGTGAATGCGCTTTATATTATAGCTTGGTAATGTTTATAACAAAAAAGAAAACACTCTCCTCAATTTTCTTCTGATCTGAAATTTATTCTTTGTTATTTTGGAATGTGAATATTTAAGATGTCTGCTTCTGCATTTGTTCCTTTTAATTATCCCTCCCTTCCCCCAACTTTATTAATCTAGCAGGTCCTGGTGTTGGTATAATGCATGGTTAAGGTTTGTTGCTTGCACTGCAATATATACAAATATTGTTCCAAAATTCCTTCGTAGCTACATCTAACTCTTAATCCCTTGATTTGCAATTGGTATTATTATTAACTATTACAAAATTATGACTTTATTTTTTCCCAAACTTAATAGAATAGTTCACATCAGAATGATTATATAATGCAATGACAAATATATAATGTCAGAAAGATTCAAAATACCATATTTGATTTATTAAAAGCGTATGCATTTATGTAAAATATAGAGATTTTTCTATGGTCAAAATATCAAATATTTTATTGATTTTGTATACAGCCAATGCGATTTTTGGTTTATATATGTGCTTCTGTTGGAAATACACTTCTAATAGAACAAATACAGTAATGTATAAAGAAAATCACCATGTTAAATTTATAGAAACGACCCACTTTTCATATTTGGGGAATTTAGTATCAGATTACAAAACGAAAATATCTTTAAGTACATCTAGTAAAATACCATCTCTCATGAAAGCAGAACAATTATTGACATGTACGCAGAAAACTGATGAAGAAATAACTCACTACCCTTTTCCATTGCCGCTACAAATAGGCATGCTTTGCTAATGAGTCAATGCATTTCATAATCAGTGCTATGTATGCATGGCAACGGCTTGAATGCATTTGACATTATCACAGTGTACAGTAACATGGAAAGGCCCCCTCCACAACCTAATCACCTCCAAAAATGCACCTCCACCCACCTTCACAACCTGATCATCTCCAAAAATGCACCTCCACAACTTCATCACCTCCAAAAAGGCTCCCTCCACAAGCATTGAGAATGATGGTAAGGTATAAGCATAGAGGGCGCTTTGGATGTGCTTGACTGGTTCCCCAGTTGGAAGCTAGTAATTGTATCAGCAGTTTGATTGACTGACTGGTCTGTCAAATTACTTTGTTCTATAGCCCTTAGTTACAAAAAATTTACCTGACGACAGTGCTTACATTCATAGTCAGTTTATATATATTGCAGGGTTTTTCTTTTACTGCGGAATACTTTATTTTTGCTGGAATTAATTTTCGCTGAAAAGGATTTTTGGGTGTTTTGTATGGAATTTATTTTCACTGATTTTTGATGAGTTGAATGTGAAATATAAGAAAAAAGTATATTCGCTGGATTTTATTTTCACGGAATCATTCCTTCAGCGAAAATAGCAAAAATAAATTCCAAGCAAAAATAAAGTATTCTACAGTAATCTAATAATTTTCACAAATATAACAATTTCCATTTGCCATCTTTTCACACAAAAATAGCAAGAAATGCTAGAACCACCTCGAGTATGAAATCAGATGCATGGGCATAATTTTATTTTAAATATTACAGTATTACAGCTGGTTTTTGTATTTAGAATATTTTCAAATTACGTCACTCAGTCGCATGCCATTGAGCCAAAATCCGAGCTCAGTGGAACAAAATATGGTTATTGTAAGATTCCTGCTTCTTGTTTCCTACTTGTTGTTTACAAGGCCAATGGGAGCCAGTGAATGTACATAGCGCCCTCTAGTGTTACTTAATATAATGTATGTTACAGTAGCAATGGCCTCCTTAGGGTGTTGGATTTTCAGAATCTCTCGTAGCATCTAGGTCACATCATCTGCTGAAAGATTGACAAAATAAATATGAAAAAAAAAACTGCATTAGCAGGTGATGTGTTGAAGGGTGGTAGTCGTAGTGCAACACGTGTTGTATAAGTTGCATGGGACTCACATCAAACACGTTGCAGCACGACAACCACTTTCTCTTCAATGTTAACAATATAAATGCGGAAACATTTGCTTCTAGGAATTTTTTTTTTAATTTGATGATATAAAATGGACAAAAATTCCCAAAATTCGCTGTGACTCCATGTCTCTAGGACCCCAGTAAAATTTTTACTGGTACAAAGTTTTTCTGACCAACAAAAGCAGTTTACATTCCACTTTGCAACAATCACTAACTACAATTGTAAAAATAGATGATTGGAATAATTATTTGCATGCGTAATTAACAAAGATACTAATTAAATTTTACTATAAATAACTGTTATACTTTGTCTGCCAGAAATTTAAAATTTCATGCGAGGAAGTAAATATTAAGAAAGTCACTGTAACACTGTCTGGACAACCTATCAAATTTGTCAATGTTACAGAATTTGCTGATTTTGTCAGACTTGGCCATTTTGTTTTTTGCAAATAGTTTACAGTATATGTTACTTACATACTCTGTCATTTCTTAAAGTAACATTTTTTCTATCATTGATGTGTTTTTGACAGAGACATCCTACTGACAAAGCCTACTTCATTGCGAAGGAAATACTCACCACTGAAAGAACATATATTAAAGATTTAGAAGTAATTGTTGTGGTAAGTTTAACTGCATACTTCTGTTAGTTAATTATAATTAACAAAGAAGTTTTAATCGACAATTATATTTTTTGACTTAGAAATGTCATCAATTTAGAATGTGCTTCCCAGTTGGGATGGTTTGGTCACCACTCTGTTCGTTGCCATGACAATTATTGCAATGCACAAACCAAAGATGTTCATAATTTTCAATTAACATGTTTATGATCATAAATAAATCATATTTTTGCAAAATCTACAATTTTTATAGGGATGAAATTTGTTTTTATCTTTCACAGTGGTTTCGTAAAGCTGTGATGAAAGAGAGTGGAATGCCGTCCGGAGTGCTTGAAATGTTGTTCAATAATCTTGACCCTATCTACGAGTTTCACTGCGGATTCGTAAAAGAAGTTGAACAAAGACTGGCCACGTGGTAAGAATTCTTTTTCAATAGTTTTATCACTTCAACAGTTTTATCTTGAGTTGTTGGGGATCTAATCCTGGAGTGTTGCATGCTGGGAGGAATATAAACTTCAATCACAGGTGGAGCTCACTCAACAATCAATTGAACAAGCAAACTCTCAAAATTGTTTTCATCTGATAAATCTAACTTATTAGTTGGGGGTGGGGGTGGGGGTGGGGGTGGCAGGTCAGTTGGATGTAAATCTGTGCACTGATTGCATCAACTTGTCACAGGAATATTGTTTGATAGTATCGATATTCACACAAGTCACTGTTTTATTTTGTTTCTAGGGAAGGACGGTCAAACGCACACCTGAAAGGGAACTACCAAAGGATAGGAGATATTATGGAAAAAAATATGAAAGAAATCAAGGTGTGTTTCAAAAGATATCTTCATGCCATTTTGGTTTGAAAACTGCTTTGACACGAAAAGCCTGAAAAAGAAAAACCTTTGGATTTCCTTCTTGCATGGGAAACTTTTTCCACGACTGCTGGAGGTTGGATTAGAATGCACGCAGTCATTGCAGTTTCGTTGTTTTACGGTTCTCAACACCAGTTCACTCGACTGACAAATTTATTTATTTGATATATAATAAAACATTACATGTGAGCTTATTCTTTGAATTGGCAATATTTAATTAAATCTAGGAAATATTGAAAAATTAGTTATGCTATACGTCTCTCTGATTATCCTTTCATTTCTTTGTAGTTGTATACTGGGTATATGCAAAAACACGATGAAATCCTAACTGAACTTGAAATGGCAACCAGGAAATCAAAGAAATTTGAACTTGTCTATAAAGAATTTGAATTACAAAAAGTCTGTTACCTGCCATTCAATACATTCCTACTCAAACCAGTCCAGAGGCTTCTACATTATAAACTTATACTTGAAAGTAAGTAATTTGTTGTTGTTGTTGTATTCATACGAAAAACAAACAAGATACATTGTACATGATTACCTTTAGGACTGGGTCTGTCTTTCGACTACAAAGACATATGGCTAAATCCGCCCCTGCAAGCTAGGGCACCTTGAGACACTGTATCCAGTTCAGAAAGAGTACTGTAAAATACATTATTTTCACAGGAATTAATTTTTGCTGAAATAACTTTTTAGGTGTGTTATATGGAATTTATTTTCACTGATTTTTAGCAAGTTGAATGTGAAAGATAGAAAAGAAAGGTATATTTGCTAGATTTTATTTTCACTGAATTATTCCTTCAGTGAAAATAGCGAAAATTAATTCCAAGCGAGTAAACTTTGTAACTATGTTGTAACTTTGTTGTAACTAATTACTAATTATTTCTTATTATTACTTATTGTCATATTTTCAGGATTGCTTAAACATTATCCTGCTGTACATGCTGACTACAATGACTGCCAAGGTAAGAAAACATAATAATAATAAAAAAGATAATGATATGCAAATTTGATATCTACCTCCAGAGACATGCAATGATGATGCTGTTCTTCTATTCACCAAGGCAGCACAGAACACAGTTGATGCTCAGAAAGGTTCACGGAGTCATGTAAAATTGTCTCTTGCAAATTTAAGGTTTGCAATTGTAATTATGTAAATATCAAGATGTTTTGGCTTTGTTTTCTCTTGTTCCTTACTCAGACTGCAAACTGTTAAAATGTCGCCGCCAGCTTGACATTGATATGCGAGTTCATATGCTTAATATAATTATATGTTTAACTAAACATTAATAAACTTGTTATATAATTTTTATTAATAATTATTTTATTCATTGCCAGCTGCTTTAAAAGAGGTTACTGAAGCCACAAGTCATGTTCATGAAAGTATGAAAAAACTGGAAAACTTTCAGAAATTGACGGAACTGCAACGTGACTTGGTGGGAATCGAAAATCTTGTCCAGCCAGGAAGGGTGAGTTTTTTGATCACACAAGAATTGTGTTTCCACAACTGGTAGGCAATATACTGAGGAACTTTAAGATTTATGATGCAATAGATTTACATACCCGCCTACGTGACAGTTAATCAAAACAACGACCCAGAGTTTTAGATAGGTTCAGCAATTAGCTTGTGGGCGTTGAGTCAAACATTTATCAAACTATGTTTTATTTATTGTTGTTATCCCCACATTATTATTTCACGTATACATACATGCATACGTGCTCATTCATTTAATAAAACTCTATGTTGAATGTTTCAGGAAAATAATAAACCTTGTTGATAGAATTATTTAAAAAACACCTCTAATATATAATGATGGAGTTGCCTAAAGTACCCTCGTGAGAACAGTTTATTTTTTTAATACAGTTCCCGATTTTGAACTTGTATACAATTATTGCTATTATTAAGTGTTAGACAAAAATTTCTCGTGGCCACACATCTAAGGCACAGTGTCTGTTGTAAAGTCCCCTGGGAATTGCCTACTAGGTGCAAAAGTTAGGTGTAGGTAATTTGCTTGCACCTGCTGTAATGTTTCCTAGAATGTGGAAGGTGTCTTAAATTCTGACACCCTGTACACTTGTATGTAATAATGTTATTATTTGTCATTTTTCTTATTTAGGAGTTCATCCGAGAAGGATGTCTTCACAAGCTATCTAGGAAAGGCTACCAACAGCGCATGTTTTTCCTCTTTTCCGACATGCTCATTTATACAAGTAAAGGTGTGACCGCCACCAACCAGTTCAAAGTTCATGGTCAAATACCACTCAAAGGCATTGTAGTAAGTTCTCTTGACTATTCATTTACGGTGTTGCCTGGTGTTAACATAAAATAAAATTATTTTGGTTTAACTAGAGTAAGGATATCTTGTAGTTAATACTCACCTTATATTTTAACAATCCATAAACCTACTGTATTTGCTTTATCCATCTATATTCAAGATTTGTTTTATCAATAATTGTTTTTTTTCAGATTGAAGACAGTCAACAAGAGAGAGCAGCTTCACATTGTTTTACCATATATGGTGGTAACAAGACATTAGTGCTAGCAGCTAGCTCTGAGGAGGAAAAAGAAAAATGGATGGCTGTAAGTCGGTTAAATTAGTGTTATTTGCTCAGCGGAATCTCTATTAATGTCATTTCTTGCTCTTATCTTAATTTTTTACTCGCTGTAATTTTTTTGATGCATCGTTTTATATGCTTTATTGTATTTTTCTATGCAGGGTTTACCTTTTGAAAAGTACCAAAAATTGGCCTTGGCAGTCAAGGTTCAAACTTATCAACATTTTAAAATCAAATTATCATGTATTGCTTCAGTAAATTATTGTTATTATTTAAAATATTAGCAGTAAAAGTAAGCAGTAAAATCCAAAAAAAAAATAATAAAAAATAAATATTTGTTTATGGTAGGACATTAAAACTGCCATGGCAATGGCTCAGAAGCAAACAAAATCGATGGAATCCATTGGCTCATCAGAAGCATCATTTGATGCAGACAACACTCTGGAAGAATCAGAGGAAGACGTCCAATCACCCCGTGGATCACTAGAAAGACAGACCCACCACCGGGCTAATACAACCATGCATGTCTGTTGGCATAGAAACACAAGTGTCAGCATGACAGACCATGCAAGAGCAGTTGAGGTGAGTGGTTACTTCCTGTCATGTGACTTGATACTGGAATATGATTGGGTCTTTATGTATGCATCTTTCTCACCTACTTTGTGTATGCTTTATACTTTTATCCCAGAATCAGCTGAGTGGTTATTTGTTAAGGAAGTTTAAAAATAGTAATGGGTGGCAGAAGCTGTGGGTCGTCTTCACCAACTTTTGCCTCTTTTTCTACAAAACCTACCAGGTAGGTGTTTCTGTATAAAATAGGTAATTTCCCATTCACTGTGAGATCTCTTGTAATGCTTGAAAGACACGGCCGTGGTCTGCTGCAAAAATCGATTGATTTGATTTTGAACTAGAATTTCCCATTTTTACGATTCAATGTCAAAATTCCAATCTTTCAGAGGAATATGGCATTGAGATGTCTTTACTTCATCAAAATTAGTGGGCGTGGAAATACCAAAAAATTATAGTTTCATTTTTGTCAAATCGCACTTGATGTTTTGATGACACTACAATGCTATGACCTTTGTTTGTCCTGTTTAGCTCTGCTGTCGACTTTGTCGAGCGCAGCTTATCATATGAGTGATTGTCCGTCTCCGTTGTCGTCGTCCGTGTCAATGTTTTACTTTTTCGACTTCTTCTTGAAAACTACAAGCCTGAATGCTTTGATACTTGGTGTATATGTACCTTGGGTAGACCTCTTTTAGGTTTGTTCATTTCATGTTGATATCTTCAATTCTCTAATTTTGGTGAATATTTTTGTCATTTTTGGTAAAAAGTGATATTTTCGACTTCTTGTTGAAAACCGCAATTGCTTTG